GGGCACTTGGTCGCTGTGCTCCTGCATTTTCAACTCCTGGAACTTGACGAACTTGGAGCCACGCGTCTGCAAGTACAGACGACCGGCGGCCTTGTTCACACGGCAATCGTCCGACGGACAATCGTGGACGGGCGTGAAGGAGAGCGAGCTCACCGGCTGGTACGTCTCGGAACCACAGCGATCGCACGTGTATGTGGCCACGACCATCATGGGCTTCACCTCAGTGCAGCGCGTCACAATGCCGCGTACAGTCGTCAGCTTGCCAATGTGTTGGGCCTTTACCTCGCGTATGGAATGGGCCTTCTCCGTGGACATTGGCTTGAAGCCCACCTCACTGGAAATGGCATAGATTTAGAGTTTTCACCTTTACTGAGGTTCCGCGTCTACTCACAATCGCTTCATCAGCTCAGGCGGGAAGCTATTGCGGTCATCGCGCTGTTCCATGGGATTGCGCACGCGGGCGTCCATCATCAAGCGATGCTCAATGTACACATCCAGGGCGTCCTTGGCGTGCACCTCCTGCTGCTTGTAGCTGGGCAGCAGCTCGGCAATCACATCACTGAAGATGCCCGCATAGCGTCGGCAGTTGTCGATCACCGCCTCGGCCAGGCTTTCATTGAACTCCGAGAGATCGTCCAGATCGATAGTGATCAGGACCTGCTCCCTATGCGCCAGCTTCACCAGCTGCGAGCCATACACAAATTGCTTCTTGCCGTCATCGTCGCACTTGCAAAACTCCGACAGGAAGGTTTTGATGGATTCTGCGTGGATTTAGACATGGGTTTTGTGGTTTCCGCAGCCGCAACGCTGATTTTACACTCACCTCTGTCCTGGGCATAGTCGCGACGAGCCATTTTGCTATTGTTTCAATTGTTTAGACCTTAAATGCGAATTAACTGTGCACGGGCTGCAGCAGCGGGAAAAAATGGTTTTTTGTGGCGCGGTTGCAAAATGAAAATAAGGCGTCCCGCCAAAAATGCTATTGCATTCGGACTTATCGATAAGGTATACGGTCTCACACTCATAAATATACCTAAATATACGGTCTCACTTTCAAAATATACCGTAAATATACTGACGACTTCAAGTTCTGTTATACACATTCCTCGTTTTTGATATTCCGTCGAATATTACTAGCTAAATTGAACCCTCAGCCCTGCCCACAGAAATTTATCTCATTAATGAATCAATTGTCTACTTGATTGGCTTATTTTAACCACTTGCTTCTATTGGAATTTTATATACCTTTGAAAATTAAATTGAATAGATTGATGAGCTAGACAAAATATTATATACCGATATACCATAAATATACCGTCCGTTCAATTTTGACCTCAAAAAATACCGTGTTCACTCTGCTGCGACATCAGACGACGTGTTTAAGAACTACTATTTTAACCACGCTGTGGCGCTGCCACCTAGTACTAAGTTGCGCGCCAAAGTTAAAATTTTAAAACAGAAAACAGAAAATAAGCTATCTTTGTGGCTTTTCACCTTTATCTCAGCTTAGCTCGCGCGACAAGGATGAAATCCATTCCTGATACTTGACATTCAATACCAAAGGAAAGCGGCACTGATGTAAAATGGGTTTACTTCGCATAATTAAAGAGCTTCCGGCCACTGATTGGGAGGGAGATTCCTTTATAATCAGTTTCCATTTTCTGGTACTATTTGTCTGTCTAACCCTCTCTAAACACACCTACCAGCTGTGTTGCTACAGCGTTTCCCTCTGCCAGAAGCGCACACTGCACGAATAAGAGTGAGACAGAGAGAGAGAGAGAGAGTGATAGAGAGGGAGAATGAGAAGCGCGTGGAAGGGGGTTTTATCGTATCTTCACAATTGTGGATGCCACTGATTTTCGTCCCGTATGGGAGTGGCGCCAACCCGTTCAGCGTGCTGACCTGCGTGTGGGTCTTACATGGCACCTCAGAGCTGTGGCGCTGGCTGTCCATGCCCGTGCCGATCACCTGTCCCACAGAGACGACCATCGGTTGTGTACTGCTCATCGCAAAAGCTGCAATCTGAGCATCTTAGTAGCCTTTTACTTCCACTTCAATGTAGGCTTAGGTATTTCTTGGTATGGACAGTGGTTTCAGTCTTATTACTGTTTGACAGCTCTCCAAAATAGCACTATAAAAATATTCTGCAAAAGTAAAGTTCGAATTTTTTGACAATTATGGAGTTTCTTAGTGAAATCGCTCAAGATATAAGCAATATACGTTTTATAAGGTTTCGGCTTTTTGGCTGGACCCATCCTGTGGCAATAAGCGCATCCGCGGTACGTTATGGAGTGATTTGATGTGAACTCGAATCTGAGTCGCGTGTTATTCTATTTCAGTTCTTTGGAGCACCTATCGAATTGCAGCTGATAGCCTTCGCTGCTTTCTATGCAGCAGGCTATGAGAATTTCCCCAACATCGTCAGTTACCTCATCCGTATAGTTCTACGGATAATTGGGCAAAACTAGTCCTGCTATACTGCTACTACTAGACACATACGGACATATGTACCATAATACATAATACTCTCAAAGTCCCGAAATACTGAAATAAACTGTTGATGGCATTATTTGATTTCTGTTTTTGTTCTGGTACTCGTACTCCACGTTAGAACTTGATGGTATTTGAGGACAGAGGGGGATCATGGTGCACCATGGACGGATCCGGTGGCTTGAGCCACTCGATGTTGTTCCCGGGCTGCTGTGGCAAAAACGAATCCTAGAGAATCTACTAGACTGCCCAATCTGGATAAGATTGGATTATTATTATAGCCCGAACTCATTCTCTCTCTCTCTCGCTGTCTCACTCATAATCGTGCAGTGTCCACCCTCTGTTCAGCAGGGTGTATGATGTAGGTTGTAGAGGCGGTCCATCCATTCACCGTTGTATACCATCCAATAGATGATCCTGTGCCGCCTTCCGAGCTACTTCCGAGCACTTGATCAACCCGCTGCCGCTCCCGATCTCCATGTGAATTTTAGATATTGACGTTTATTGCGGTTTCAAATGAAATTTACAAAAGTCTGTACTGTACTTTTATCAATTGCAATTACATTCAAAATTTACGCATAGCATTGTTTTCGACTCGACTCGACTCGACTCAATCAATTTTTTTTTGGACTTGCATTGTTTTTTTTTGTTTGTTTTGTTTTTGTTACATAATTATTTATTATTTGTTTGAATGCATCTAAAAAGTAGTACATTTAATTATATTTTTTTGTGCAATTTTCGTTTGTTTTGCTTTTGCATTGGTTATCATTTCGAATAGATTTACAACAACAACGACGACGACGACGACGACGACGACGACGACGACGACGACGACGACGACGGCGATGTTGCTGCTGTTTGCTGTTGCTTGCGGTATACATATGTTACAATTTAATATGTTGCGTTTACGTTTAACTTAAATATTATTAATCACATGCAATAGTTAAATAATAATGATACAAATAATAATTATACAATAGTTGCAATGCACAGGCACAACGCAACGGAACGCCACACAACCCACACACGGATTGTAGTGCCTTTTTAGACCAATTTGTTTTTATGGTTTTTGGGTTTTTTGGGGGGTTTTTGGGCCTAGATTTTCATGGTTTGTTGCCTTTTGCTTTTGTTAATTTGCTACTAACTAAATGTTGTTGTTGTTTCGGTTTGATGTTTCTGTTGTTGTTGTTGTTTCTCTTCTGCCCAACTCTGTTTTGCTTTTTACACATTACTGGCTAAATCGTTACAGTTTACGACGCACTAGCATTAGATTACGATTTAATTAGTTAATTCGTGTATGTGTGTGTGTGTGTGTATGTATATTTTATGTTCTTATTGTAATCGTACTCGTATGTATGTGTGTATTGTATGCATATTTCATATTCATTTTGTATACTATATAATATATTCTCGTAGATGTATTATTATTATTTTTATTTATATATTATATTTTTTAGAGTGTCGCCCAGCGCTTTGCAAACACTGTCTAAAGTATCCATTAGATTGCAACAATAGTTTTTTTTCTTCCGTTTTCCATTTTTCGTGTATGTTCGTGTTTCGTTTTTCGAATGCGAATGCGATTTGCGTTTTTCATCTCAAATTGTGATTTGTTTTGTGCGCTGTTCTCCTCTCCTCTCCCTCCCTGTCAAAACCCAACTCTCAAAACTTAAAGTTACAGAACGATTGATTCCATAGACATAACTTTCGTAAACTCTAATTAGCTGAATGCATTTCCAATGACATTTTCTTCTCTAATTTTAAATAATGCCTACATATAATATACGTATATATCAATCGATTCTCATCATCTTCCTTTTTTTTTTTTTGTATTCTTTTTTGTTTTTTGCTTTTTGTTTTTTCTTTTTCTTGCGTATAAAGCTGTAAGTCTTCTAGTTTTTCCCGTAAAGTGCTTTCTTTTTTACTCAACTAAATTCCATTTGTATGCATTAATTTTCTCAAATGTTTTTTTTTTGTTCAGTTCAAAATGTGTGTGTGTGTGTGTGTGTAGACGACAACAATAATAATTTTGTATTAGTTTAACAGATTTTATATTTGTTTTACTTTACGTATGTATTTATTCCGTATGTACTATAATATTTTTTGTGATCTTTCGGTTTTCTCTCTATTCTGTTTTCTGTTTTCTGTGTGCTTTTTTCTCAATTTCAATTTCAATTTCAAGAAGGAACAACATGTACTTTGAACATTGAGCTTTACTGTACTACCGTACGCTACAAATAGTATAGTATATATATGTATGTGTGTATGTAGTAGTATTAACATTTATCTGAACAAACTGCTGCACACACACTCCGTGCCTATCCTGCTTGGGGCTTGTGGCCTGGTTTGAGTTTGAGTTTGAGTTTGAGTTTGAGCCTGTTTTGTTTAACTTTTAATTTGTGCTTTTCCTTTCTTGCTTTTGAGTTGCTTTCTTTCTTTCGTTTCAAGCAGACACACACATTTCCAACACCCTTTTTTATGGCACATAAGTCTTGTTGGAGAGATGCATGCTACTGCATGGGGAAATTCGTATCGTGGAAATGGAAAAGCTAGAAGGGGCGCTACTCCGAAATTCCCCTTTTTCTTGGGAAGGGTGGCGGGGGTCTGGGGGGTGTTGGCGCTTACGGGGCTAATAAATTACGTTTTGTAACAACTTAAGAATTACACAAATAATAATAATAATAATGATAATAGTTATTAATTAATGATTTTAATCGATTCTCTCGCATGCATTTCGCTGCCATCCATCGGTTGCTGTTGCGCCTGTTGCGGCTGTCGCTGTTCGGGGACTCGTTTATCCTTAATCCTTTGTCGTCGCTATGGCTTAACTGCAGCTCCTGTAGAGTATTGTGACTAGAGTGAGGAGCAGGCACGTCGCAGGGGCTGCCAGCGGATTGGAGGCACCGCCGCTCTGGTTATTCTCGCGCTGCTCGGTATCGGGTATGGTCGTTTCGCCAGCGCGATCGTCGATGGATGTGGCACCTGCAAAGACCGAAAAATTGAGTAAACGAAGAAGGTACCTTGTAGGTCGTTGCGGCTTACCATCGCCAGAACCGTCGCCGGAGCCGTGTATGCCGCCGCCGTACTCCTCATCATCGTCGCTGATTTGGCCACCGCCGCCGCCGCCAGAGCCCTCGCGGCCCATGTCGCTTTGGATGTCGTGCGACTGTACGCTCGAAGAGGGTGCCTAAACGAACAATAGATTGGGCTTAGGAACTGCAGGTATGGTGGGGATATGTGTATCGCGTTTCGTACCGCTGCTCCAATGCTCTTGCGTATCTTGATCAGCTTGTCCACCAGCTCGTTCAGCTTGCTGACCTGCGTCTGGGTCTTCCAGGGCACCTCGGGATTGTAGCGCTGCCTGTCCATCCCGGTGTCGATCAGCAGCTGTGTGTAGTCGCCAATGCGATCGCCCGTCCAGCAGAGACGATCATCGGTGGTGTATTCGGCATCGCAGAAGCTGAAACGTATCGAAATTTTCGATTACACATAGGCACCAGTAGGCTTTCAGTTTCCCGTTAGCTAGCTAGGCTAACGTCCGGTACTTTTTACCAATAATTACTTAAAAAATTATCAAATATCATCATGGACATCAGAAATTTGACTAAGGGCATGATTACGACGTCTCTTGAGGTGAGCCAGGCACATATCTATTTGATCCCTTATGCCCCTCATTGGCGGTCTCGTTCTTCATTGCAGAGCGGCCGTGAGGGCAAAGCAATCCCCACCTTGGAATACATACTGTTATACTTGATCATCGGGTACCCGGTTTACTACCTCTTGTCCACGAATGAGTACATGCAGTGGCTCATTCGGCAGATAATCGGTCCAGGCGGCGACGACTTTGTACAACAATAGTCCACAACCCCAACCCCAACCCCCCAATGGGATCGTGGTCCCCCCCCCTCCAAAATACACTGTCATTTTCTTGGCATCGTTTGAGTTGTGTCTTTTTTTTGGGTGGGTTTTTCTGGTCACTCACTTGTCCACAATGTTCGTGTAGAACTCCTTGGTCTTCTCGATGGTGGAGAGGAAGCGCACCATGTCCGGATCCGGTGGCGTGGCCCACTTGACGCTGTTCTTGTGCTGCTGCAGACGCGTCTCCGACTCGTCGGTCAGCGAGGGCGACAGATTGGGCGTGCCGCATGTCTTCTTAACCTGCAAACGGAATGGAGATGGAGATGGAGAGTTTAAGTTTGGGCTTGGGCTTGGGCTTGGATTCTTTTGTGTGTTAATCGCTGCCGCTCATGCAACGGCAGGGGCAGGGGCAGGGGCAGGGGCAGTGCGAGGGGCAGTCCCTCATCATTAAGCTCTCGGAGCGTGTGCTGCCCTGCATGTAAATTGCAACTTGCAGCCGGACTGGGGGACAGGGGGACGGAGCCCCTACTGAATGCAATCTAATTTAGCATTTTAAATGCGCTTCAACATGCCAATTATGCGACAGAGGGGGGTGCCACAGGGCAGGGAGGGTGGCAGGGAGGCAGGGAGGCAGGGAGGCTGGCACAGACAGAAGATGGTGCAGATACAACTGCACTTTAATTGAATGTCATGTGCACATTTAACAAGCCCTCGAAATGCCGCAGATACTCCTCTCGTACTGGTACCTTTTTTTTTCTTTCTTTTTTTTTTTGAGGCTGCATGCAACGTAGGTCGCGCGCTCTTGAAGGCCGGAACTCAACGCAGTGGCAACGCATTTATTCATTAAATCCATTTAAAATGTTCATAAATTAAAGAGCAATTAAATCATTAAGCAGCGAACGTGTGTCCTTGTGCCGAAAGGCACGCATCGATCGCATCAGGAAACGAGCGGAAGCCAAGAACCCCGAGAAGGGGAGTCCCCGACGGGTCCGAAGACGGGAAAGTATCTTTGGGTGGAAAGGCCATTCGCCCCCCGCGCTTACCTTCTGCTCCAGCTCCGGCCCATTGCCCATGGCGTGCATGATGGCATCGGAGATCTTGGTGCTCAGCTTCATGATGGTGTTGATGATGCCGCTGTCCGTCACAATGTGGGTGGTGACCAGATTGTTCAACGCCTCGACGACACTCGACCAGGGACTGTCCAGCAGGCCGGCGTACTCCGCCGAGCAGCCGCTAAGGGGAGGAGGCACAAAGATTAGTCTCTATCGAGGAATGGAACGACTCCTGCGACTCCTGCGACTCCTGCTGCCACTTACCGCATCACATTCATGCAGTAGCCGTTGCAGATCTGCGGCTGGCCCCGCGTCTGGTGGCCGTTGCAGTTGGGGCAGTAGTGCATCTTGAGGAGATGCATCTTGCACGTGTCCGTCAGCTGCTGGCCGTAGAGGGCGTCCGCCTCGGCCAGGACCTCGGCACTCTGCAGCAGGGCGTTCATAAACACGTTCGACATGTGCACGCTCTGGACGAGGCTGCTCTGGATCTCCCTGGGTATGCCCCCGAAGGGCTGCAGCTCGTCAAAGTTGTGCTTCAGGCAGTTGATGTAGTCCTCGTGCAGCTCCCCGTAATTGTTCTTGGCGAGGTGCACCGCCTGGTGGTAGGCCACGGGGAACAGCTGCACGAAGAACTTGTGCACGGCGTCCTCGAGGCCACTCCGTAGGCTGCCAATGCCGGCCTTGCCGCCCATCTGGCCGTTGCTGTTCGTGTAGTTCGAGATGTAGTTCAGGTGGCTGCAAAGACACAAGAAACCGGGATTAGCTATGCAGGATCTAGGGCCGTGGCCGTCCCTAAGATACGTACTTCATGATTTCCGTATACAACTGGCGGATCATCATCCCCGACAGCGGCACCATTCGTATGTAGACCTTGGAGAAGACCGTCAGTGTCTTGTTCTCCGACTGCTGGGCCAGCTCCAGGACGTGACCTGAAAAGGGAGGGAAAGCGGGCAGAGGTATCCATGAAAATATGGCCAAAACTCGAGCATTCTGTTGTTGTTCCAAGTGAAATTTAATCACTTCGCTGCTAGTCGGAATTCCCCACAGCAGCCGCAGCGAAACTTCCACCATTTAATGGCCAGCATGGGGATTTTGGGCTCCCAGTTGGATAGCAATTTTGCTCCATCCTCCATCCTCCAACCTCCATCTCCCTCTCCCTCTCTCCCTCTCTGTGTTTGTTTGTTTTGGCTTTTAGTTAATGAAATCTAATTTAATGCCTATCTGTGGGTCTCCCTGGGACGGGAATTGTTTCATAAAAGTTTTACTCTTGATTGCCGTCAATCATGGCTGCATTATTTCTATCCCACTGCCCCTCCAGTATCCTCCGTCAATCCGCCAATCAGCAAAGTCTCTCAATATGCAAAAAGCACCGACACAATCCTGTGATATCTGTCAAGGTGTCAGCCACACTTGTGCAGACGGGCATCGATAGATACGCAGATACAGATACAGATACAGATACACTCCTCTGGCAGGCAGGCAGTCAGGCAGTCAGGCAGTCAGCCTGTCATTATCGCCAGATTACAAATGGCCAAAAAGCTGCTCGGATCGCCTGGACACAGATAACATTTAAAAGACACCAAAAACCAGAGACCGATGAAAAAAAAAACTGTCAAATTGCCGTGTGATTTCTCACACACCCCCTCGGCTGCGCTACGCCCTCTGCCTGTGGCGGGGGCGGGGTCGGGGCTGGGTTGGGGCTTGGGGCTTCGTTTTCAAACGAAAGTGTCAGTCTTTTTGTTAATTGGCAACAAAAGAACCCAAACCGAACCCAAAACCAAACAAAAACAAAAACAACAACATTTTGACATCCACAAAAGTGTTTTCTGTAGTTTTTTTTTTGTTTTCTTCTTTTTTTTTTTGTAGTATTTGCGGCTCATTTTGATTTTGATGTTGAGGCATTTCCGTTCTCAAGAGTTTGAATATTTCTTCTTTTTTTTTGGGGCTTGGCCTGGGCTCGGTGTCGGGGGTCGGTCTCTTCTGTCCGTCGACGAGGTCGCGGCTCTGGGGCTGTCGTTTTTATCGGGCAATAGCCTTTGATGCGTCATCTGCCTGGGAACCCTTTCTAATTAGCAAAAGTTGCGATTTCTTTGTAGAGTTTGTGGAGGAGCAAAAACAAACAAAACGATCCATCTAGGGGAGGAGTGGTGCCCGGTGCCCAGTGCCCAGTGCCCAGTGCCGGGTCTGAAGTGCTAATCATTTATCAATTGCTGACAATTGCTGCTGCTGCCGCTGCTGCTGCTGTCCCCAGGATATGCGATAAACACACACCGACAATCAATTGATTTAGCGCGCTCGAGATACAAAATGACAATAATAATAATAATAGCGACGATGATAGCCGCCGCACCGCACCGCACCGCACCGCACGAACGTCACAAAACACAAATCGACGGGAGATCACGGGGCGGGGCGGGGCGGGGCGGAGCGGAGGAATGGGGTTTTGGGGGGGGGAGGGGGGGACAGAACTCACACATCCTGTCGCTAATCTCATTGACGTGGCACAGCCGCAGCGCACAGCCATCTCATCGACTCTGGCGGAAACATTTAATTATTGACACCAGTCCTCCCCCGTGCCCCCCGTGCCCCATCCACATCGACCACCGAACGTGTGGATGCGCGGATATGCATTCTCACACGATGGATGGATAGATGGATGGATGGATGGATGATTGGCCCATTAAATCAGCGGGGAGACACACAAGAACAAAGTGAACCATTAAGTACAGTCTCTGCAGAGAGGCAGAGTGGCAGAGCGGCAGAGCGGCGGAGAGAGGAGGGGGAAGGTCAGATGTAGATGAAAGCCCGCCTCTTGTCACAGCTCCAGAAAGGAAGTAAAGATTGGCATTGTTCGTCGATCGATTGCATGATTGAAATGCCCATCAAAATTGCCATTTATTGATTGAAAATATATATATTCCAGTCCACAGACAAACATCCTTTAAGCGGGAAGGTTAAGGAAGTACAGCCCCAATTGTCCAGCAATTACACGATTGACATGCCTAAAATTGCGTTCAACAGTCGAACTTCGTTGAGTGGAATATCCTTCGGGGAAATACCCTCAAATAAATGGCATTTTTAATGAAATTCCAAGGAAACCTCTGAAGGGAATCACAGTTTGAATTGTCTACCAATTACCGAGAAACCTTTTCGATTGATTGAAAATATATTGGCATCTACAATAGAACTTCTACCGCCATAAAGGGTTCAGTGGAAGTATCTAAAACTGGAGCTGAAAGAAGAGCTGAAAAGAACTAGATCATGGTTCTATTCTTCATGAAGAACCACCAACAAACCGAAAGTATCTGCTACAAAGCTACAAAGATTCTTCAATTGAAAGTGTCATTCCATCGCCGGAGATTGAATATTTGATGCATTTGAAAGTGTGTGTCTTTGCCACATCCTTTGGCCTGCTGATTAATTACAATTTTAATGAACTCTCCACAAGAGGGTGGTGGGGGGGGGGGGGGGATGAATTCAATTCTGCTGATGTGGCAAGAGAATGGGCAACGAACGATATGATATTGCTGCAGCTGCCTTTTGTTGGCTTAATATGCTCAATTGAGTTGGGGTTTCGGCCGGGCCCACACACAGGCCCCAAGGCAGGGCTCACTTGGCAGATACATAGTTTGGGTTACATTTGTATCTTTGTATCTCTGCATCTCATAAATTGTTAGCTCGGCAGAGGCACTTCACCTGCGGGCACAGCCACAGAGACAGCCCCAAAGAGAGCCACAGACTATGGATGTGTGTGTGTGTGTGTGTGTGTGTGTGTGTGTGTGTGTGTGCAATTTGCCGGACATTTCTCCGTCTGTTTGTGCCACTAATTGCAATTTCAGTTCAACTCTCTAACCATCTTTATCTATGCACACACACACACATGCATGCATCGTATCTTTGTATCTATTTTGCTTACTTTCTGACATTCTCTGTCAATTAGTTTTTGGGGGCTGCTGGTGCTGGGTGGTGCCGGGGGGGGGCTACGTTTTATTGTTTTTCGAGCGGGTCTCAATTTGAAATCAAAGCAAATGGCTTTTGGCCAATGAAACATGAAAATTTCATTAAGCTTGTGGGTTTGGTTTTCCTGCTCCTCTTAAGACTTGGTTCTACTTCGTCACACATGGCGGAGGGTCCCGCTGTCCCGCTGTCCCCCATCTAGTGGGGCAAACAGACAATGAAATTGAATTAGACAACGCCGAGATGGAGTGCCTCTCTCTCTCTCTCTGTGTGCCCCGAAACGGCAGCAAAGTGTGGCAAATGTAGTTACCAGAGAGGATACAGATACACAGATACACAGAGACAGAGGGAGAGCAGGAATTCAAGTCCAAGTCCGAGCTGCTTAGCGACTCCCCAGGCAGCCAGAAGTTTAGCTTTTAGCTCTAGAGCTCTAGAGCTGTGGAGCTGTGGAGCTCTGGAGCTATTCCTAGAGCAAATATCGGGCTTCTTCATTGCTTCATTAGAAGGAGCGGCGTGTGGAGCGAGAGATTAGCATGCCATGCATCCCCATTCCCCATCCCCCTTTCCCCGATACCCTGTTCATCCAGGTTTCGACCGGTTTCGGGGGCCCCCCGGCCAAGCCCCAAAAGCAAATGCGGGAGGCGGCTGTTGCTGTTGGCAGTGGCAGTGGCAGATGGGGCACAGTACTCTCTCCCTCTCCCTCTCTCCCTCTCTCGCTCGCTGGCAATGTTGTTGTTTCCCACGCCATGGCAAATATGCAACACACACACACACACACACACACACACACACGTCGCGACGTGGCACAGCCCACAGGTTTAGTTTTTATTTTTGCCCGCTTTTTTTTTTCTCGTATTTCTTTTGCCACTCTGGCTTGCCCCTTGGGGGCATGCTGTATGCTGCCGCTGCCGCTGCCGCTTGTGCGAGTATTTGTTGCCTGCGTCCCGTTCCGTTCCTGTGCGGATATTACAATTTTAGTATCTTGCCGCATTTTTTATTTGCATTTTATATGCATGTATTTCTTTGGCTCTAACCATCCGTCCAGGAAGAGTCGGAGTCGGAGTCGGTGTCGGTATCGTCGGTTCTGGGCCTGCCTCCTCCATCCCTCCCTCCCCCCTCTGCATCCCTCTGCTCTGATCCGTGCTCTGGTATCCATCGTGTGGCCGCTGCCGCCTTATGAATGCCAAAGCAACTTTGTTAGTGCTCTTCGTTCTGTTCTGTTCTGTTCTCTCCTCTCCTCTATTCTCTTTCTTTTTCCTGGCTTTTTCTGTTGTCTGTAGCTTAGCTTTTTAGCCGCGTTTAGGTTTCGTTTTGAGCCTGCCCCCTGCACCATGCCCCTGCCTGGGAGTCGCGTCTGTCCGTCTGGCGGGTTGAAGCAGCTCTCTTCTCGGTGACCGGCTGCCGGCAATGTCTCCTCAGTCTCAGGGTTCCAGTCTCAAGGAAGTGGCCTTCTCCGTTGCACGGGGGAGGGGGGGAGGGGGCTGAACAGTGGTTGTTGGTCTTGCGATTAGCGGTGATATTTCAGAGATCATCAGGTATCCAGAGATAGATACAAAACGTGGATAGATAGAGCTCATAGTGGAGGTCTTTTTCGAAACCCTCCAAAAAAGGGTTCCATTAGCTTCCCCAAGCGATAGTGAAGTGTGATCCCCCAAAGGCAGCCCCCACATTGGGTAGATCCAACCACTGTGCCCGTGCTTGGGCCTGTGCTTGGGCCTGGCCTGTGCTGCCTTTGGCCAAGCGTCAGTGGTTAAGTGCATGTATTGTAACTAGCTATGTATCTGCAGGCGTGCCAAGTCGACACGCCCCTCTACAGCCCACAGCCCACAGCCCACAGGCCAACAACAATCCATCCCGGCAATTCAGCCATCCGGCCATCGGGGCGCTCCACTCCAACAGCTGTGCCGCAGCGGCTCCTCTCTGGCTTTAGCCCCAAAAGGGGTCTGGCCTCTTCGGTGCGCCTCTCTACACAATGTCAAATTAATTGGATGACTTTTCATTGTTGGAGATGTGGAGCTCGAGCTGTAGCTGTAGCTGTAGCTGTATCTGGAGCTTCAAGTGGAGCTGTAGCTGTGGCTCAAGTGCAGGCCACCGCTTGAGTCGACCTTTCCTCTTTCTAACATATGGAAATGCTTCAAAGCATATGCATCAATTGGCCACTTTCCCTCCCTACCTACCTCCCTCCCCCTTCTCTTGGTTGCCCCTCGGGTTCGTCTTCCGTTTTTGGTGGCGCGTTAATTATAAGCGCGAGCTTTCAGCGTTTAATTTGCCAAGCAACTAATTATAATAATTATATAGAAACACACACACACACACACACACACGTACAGGTTGAAAGAGACACAGCGAAAAACGTGGCAGACAAAATGACTCCACTTTTGCCCATGGCTTTTTCCGGATTTTATTGTTGTTGTTGTTGTTTTGTTTTTGCTAATTACGAAAACGAGTTGAAGACCTGAAACGGGGGCCTCCATTAGCTCAAAAATTCTGCAAAAATAATTAACATTATGTATGCCAGAGATTGACAACTGGTTTTCTTTTGTGCGCTAGAAAAGTATCTTTAGATACTTTGCGAGTCTGAAAGAAGGTCTTACAGGGTAAACCAATAGATGTGCTCCACGGATAGCAGCTGCAAGTAATCACATATAAAGTATAATACCCTCCAATCTGTGCTCAATCGTGTTTCATTCGCATTTGTCTATGGGAAAAGCCACTTTTCAATAACTTAACAGCAAATCCCAAGCTTATTTTCCACTGTGGCAACAGCCGCTACTGCAATTGCAACACGCTGTGGCACTTGCAAACAGCAAACCTTCCACTCGGCGTTGCACTCTCTCCTGCTCTCTCGCTCTCTCTGTGACAAGACAAGACAAACAAAAACGCCGGCTAACAAGCGATGGCGGCCAAAAAACCACTTTAGCCGTAAAGACAAGAAGGCAGCCAGGCAGTGAGGCAGTCAGGCAGTCAGGCAGGCAGCCAGGCAGCCAGAGCGCAAGATATGGCCAAAAACAGACTTAAGCCCTGGCCCTGAAGGGGGATGGAGGGGAGGAGGGAGGGGTGGCGGTGTGGCGTGGCGTGGCGTGTGCACCACCAGGAAAGTTGCAACTTGCAACTTATGAAAGTGCACGCATTGCTGTTGTTGTTGGCTGTGGCTGCCGTTGCAGCTGCCACAAAAATAAAGAAATAATTTCAGCGATTCTGGCGAGGAGGTTGCTTGGCTTTTCCACAGACGTTGGCCAGCCCCGAAGGGGGGTATACGTACAGGGTCATACATTTTGGTGTCTGCGGCAGGGTATCCGAAACTTCGATGCCCGAAGCGCGTTGGCCCTCTCTGTTTGTTTTTATTGCCTTTGAGAGGGCTGCCCCAAAAGTTGGGCCGTAAGTCAGCATTTGGGAAGCATTTTATGCAGGCGCACGCCCATGACCAGGTGCCAGCAGGGAAACGCATTAAGCGCGTGAGCAACGCCACCAAAGACGACAGCGACGGCGACGGCGACGGCGACAGCGACGGCGACAGCGACAGCGACAACGCCTGATGATGATGGCGATGGCGATGACAGGAACGTAAACGTGAACGTGGGGGATGTGGTGGGGGGCGGTAAGTGCAATGTAGAGATGCAATGCGTTGGAGGAGCCAGCCAGAGCCTCTGCTTTTGCTTGGAAATTGGGCATTGGGGGCTGCGGATGGGGCTGGAACTGCTACCCATATAATTCGTAAGCTCCGAAACGTGTTTAAACACGCAAATACTTGCTTAAGAATAATAATACGCCAAACACCAGGCAGAACGAGAGGGAGGAAGGAAGAGGGAGAGCACCAAAAACACAAAGGATGGCGGAGAAATGCAATCCAACGACAATGGGCGCGCGGAAACGACAGGAGAGAGAGAGAGAGAGAGAGAGAGAGAGAGAGAGAGAGATAGAGAGAGGGGCAGGAAGGAAACCCCGGGACTTGTATGGCATATGCCACACACACGCACACGCACACACACACACCCTCCTCCTGGTTGTAATGTTAATGCCACAAAAATAGAAATATGCATTTATTTGTTGTGCAAAAAACAATAATGTTTTACGAGAGAGGCAAAAGCAACGGAATTGCAGCAAAGAAATGCATAAAATTTTATAGGTGCACCATTTTTGTGGGTACCACCCCTGTGAATATCACGCATACGCAGAGTCTGCCAGCCACAATCTTTGGCCGCAAGTAAATCAATTTTTATGGCCACTCTGCTGCTGCTGCTGCCAGTGCTGCCGGTGCTGCAACTAAGGAGTCGCACGTGGCAGTCCATAAACCGAGCGATAAGCAAACGAAGCAGGGAAAATGCCAGCAAAAGTTTCGCCTCTTATCAGGGCAGCGGTGCATGGAACCTCCACTGTCATAGCCTATCACTTTATGCAACCTCAATTTCCTCTGCGGAATCCTATTGTTATTAAATTGCTTCATAAATCTTTAAGCACACACGAACGTCCGTCACTCACTTAAGCCATTCATCCATCAAGCGAGCACTGACTTTCGGTCGGAATTGCTCTACCAATTTGGTTGATCAATAATTGTTCGTGTTTATGGCTCAAACGCTAAGCTAAATGACTTTGCTGATTGCATTTTAATTTTCATTTTTTGCAATTATTATTTTTTTTATTGAAACGTGGGATTTTTGTTGCTTTGACATCACCTCTCCGTCCACCCTGGACAAGCAAAAGCAATTGAGGAATGCAAATTGAATGCTAAACAGATGAAGTGTTTTGCGATACCCTGTAAATGGATGGGCCATTGAGGGGGTATATACGGAGAGCCGTTCACTTGATTTTTCTTAGTTGAAATATGATAAATGGAAGCGCTCGTACCTATTCGCTTCGGGCAGCCAGTGCAAGACGGAAGCTTAAAATCATCTTTGGCAAGGCAGACAACACGAACGAACATGTCCACAGATGACGAAAGCCATGCCAGAGCGACTATTGAGAGATGAGAGACGACAGAAAAAAAGAAAGCAGCGCAGGAGCCCCGTTCACTTGAGTATTCTTTTAGTTAGAATATGATTCGTAGCTATTTGCTTCGGGCAGCCAGTGCAGGACCGAAGCTTAAAATCATCTTCGGCAAGGCAGACGACACGAACGAACATGTCCACAGATGACGAAAGCCACGCCACAGCGACGATATAGAGATGATAGAGGACAGAAAAAAAGAGAGCAGTGCAGGCAGCGCAGGCAGCGACAGCCAGAGCGGCGCAGCAAAGCCAAGATAAGCGATCGGTTGTTTTTTTTGTTGTTGCGTTCGACGGCCGGTCAGCAGCATTTACCTGCTCGAAATATTACAAATTGCCCTTGCAATAAAATGAGTAAACTATTGCGCGACTCAAACCAATATGCCCGCTCAATTGATCTTACTTGCTGTACACTCATATCCGTACATGCAGCAGCAGCACCTCTTTTGGTGTTGACTCAAACTTTAATGAGCCGCCGATTCCCATTCCCCAATCGCCGATCGCCGATCGCCGTTCGCCAATCCCCAATCGCCCGATGCGAATCCAAATGAATCAATGGGATGGCATAAATTAAGCAGATGACAACACCAAACCACAAAAAAACACACACAAAATGCAAGCAGAATTCAACAAATTTGTATATAGCGGATATTTAAGTACATACATATGTATAAACATGTGTGTGTTTATGTATACATATGGAGAGGAAAGGCGTGTTTAAAGTCTCTTTTTGTGAATGCGCGAGCCCAGTTCCAAGAATTGCAGAGACCGAAAGCGGGACCCACAACCCAGAACCCAGAACAGAAGAACAACAATGAAAGAACAGAAACTGAGAAACAGCACCAGCACCAGCACCCTCCCCCCGAACACCCTCTGGAGGCAGGGAGGCACGCCTTAAAGTGAAGCGAGATTTACAGCATGTACGACAACAATTTGCAGGCATTGTGTGTGAAACGGGGGGGGAGGTAGAAAGACCGGAGAGGGAGGGGTACCTACTGCTGCTGCTTGTGCTGCCCCAAAACGTGACCCAGACAAAGTTTTGCTAAAAACAAAAAATAAAATACAAAAAGGGACAACGACAGCGACAACAACATTATTTAATGCCTTTTTAATTAGATGCAGTACCCGCGAGAGTCCGAGACCGAGTCCGAGACCGAGTTCGAGTCGCGTTTGTTGCATTCCCAAGCAGCCAGAAGTCGGTTTATGAATTATCTATATACCCTTAGCCCCATGTGCATACAGTCGTATATCTCTCAGCATTATACAGTCGCTTTGATCTGCATACAAATTCCAAATTACAAATCAATTTCGCTTTTTTTTGCGCATTTGAAAGCTTAATTTGGTTTAACTTCCACTTTTTTTAGCTGAAGGCTTTCAAGGCTTCAACATTGTATCATCATAATTTTGTGGGGCCCATCCCAGAGCCCTCGATGGGACACATTTGCATATGATAAATTATTTATTGCCACGAAAATATTGTACACTCGTTCGGTCTATCGCTTGCAGAAAAGAGTAGCCGTAGGAAAACTGAAACTGAAAACTTTCCAGACTTTTCAGCGAATCATTTGCATAGAAAGGAAGGACTGGGGAAACGTCTGAAAATTTCATACTCACTCTGGAATTGGTTGGCATTATCCGCCAGGATCCCGCGCAGGCTGCTCGTGTGATGATGCAGCAGCTGCTCAAACATTCCGGCGGCCTTCTGGCGGAGCTCCAGCTCGGTGGCATTGTTGCAGCAGTTGCCACCGCAAATGGCGCCTGTGAAGAAAAATGCACAAGGACAAAATTTAGATTTTATATTTTCTACAAGTAGTACAATGATAGATCCCAGCTGTTGGGGCCCTTGAGTACCTCCTCACACCCACCCCCACCCCCCACACAGATCATCTTCTTGGTTGTATTTCGTCATTAGCTGCGCCTCGTATCATTTTCAAATTATCGCACAAATCAAACATTTACTCCCCAGGTCCCGGCCTCTCAACGATTATTGTATCTCTATCGTTTTGTGTGTGGGACGTATCTCTCTCCCTCCCTCTCTCCCTCGCTCGCTTAATTGTTTATGGCTTCAAGTTTTTTTTTGTAGCAGTAGTAGTGGGCGTGTTGGCCAATAGCAACAACAACAACAACAACAGTTTGCCACCCATCACGCAGCGGCGTGTGGGTTTGGGCCATTCGTCTAAATAAATAAATACCAGAGAAATATGAATTGCTGTTTCGTTTAGAGATGTTTCATTTATTAATAACTTTTAAATTGCCTCAAATTGCAGAGGCTGGCGAATCGAGAAACTGTTTTTGGTCATACAATTCACAGCATGCCACAAAGTGGCTGCAGCAATGATTGCGCACGGCGGCGCATGCCACAGCTTGTGGCCTGCTGCTGCTGTTGCTGTTGCTGCTGCTAATGACAACGGATTGTTGCAGCTAAAACGATTTACAACTCACTAATCGTTGTGCCCTAGAAAATGGCTCTCTAATGAAAAGAGAGCCAGAGAAAGAGGGAAGCAATGCCACAAACTGGGGCAATATATTTTACACTCGTAAATACTCGTAAATAAATCAACAAAAGACCCGCTGATTGCCAAGACTCCACGATGCTCAAGACATTGAAAGGCGAATTGTTTTTTTGGCCCAAAAACATTTTCATTGTTTTATCCTTTTTCGCCAGCAGCAAATGAAATACAATACCCCATCTCTAGGACATGTGTTAATCACTCCCCCTCCCCCGCCCACTCCCCTTCGCCCTCCTTTCGGGCGTGTGGGTTTTCCCCAAAAGATACAAATCGTGTGACGAGCTTTTTATGACAAGCTGTGCAACATCCCAAAGGCAAAAGCGACACCAGCAAAGCGACTTTTATGGACGGTTGTCAGGCTGTTTCTCTCGTCTTTTATAGTTTATAATTTAAATTAATGGCCTTTACATGATGTTTATGCAGCAGCAGCAGCAGCAGCAGCACCTAATAGCCAGAGCCAGAGCCACAGATCGACAGATCGACAGATCCCCCGTCACATATGCAAATGAACAATATCTGAGTGCCCCGATTCGGTGGCCATATGTTTGGCTGTTGTTATGCTGTCATAAAATTAGCAAATTAAATGAATGTTTGGAATGGGAAAGGGGGCGGGGGGCAGGGGGCAGGGGATGGGGCACACAAAAGGCAGACGGACGTCATCGCACTCAAACAGAGTGCACTCGTCAGTCGTCATTCACGGGCTATTTTTGTGCGATGAAAAACATCAATAGTTGCACTCGCGAGACAACCGCAAGGCCGTGACACATATTTGCCAGCATGTGGGGGCAAGCTCTTCCAAAGGGAGATGCTCGCTAGCCCCTGCTAGGCCTTTCAATGCCAGAAACACAGGGACTTGATGTCCGTCAATCCGGATGGATTGACAGGGAAGGGCGGGCAAACCGAAAAACGGATTCTCCAGTTGTAAAAGATTGTTTGTCAACAATTTTCATCCTATTTTCCGATTGCATTGTGCAACTTCATCGATTTAGGGGCGCAGGAAGGACGAAAGGACGCAAGGAAGGATGCAGCATTCAGCCCTCGAGGCTGTGGCTCCTGCTGCTTCTTTTGACCATGATGTGTTTATGCGTTTTACCAACTGCTGGGCCATAAATCTGGCATCTGGCAGGATGGACCACCCATCCTCCCATTCTCCCATTTTCCCATGGCATTTGGCCAGAAAAATCGGAGGCCACAGACACAGAGGCGTCACTCAGTCAGCGAGCGAGTGAGTCACAGAAGAGCTACTTCTCCTTTGCTGCTGCTGCTGCTGTTGCAGGCAGTCGGTTGCAAGTTAGAGCGTGTCTTTGGGGGGGGGGGGTGGGATTTCTTTTTTGCTGCCGTTTTGGGGGGGTTCCGCCCGCCCGCCTACGAAAAACTCTCCTTTTGTGGCGCTCAAGAGCTCAAAACTCGAGCAGCAGAAATTCAATTCAATTGCTGCAACGTGGCAGGCATGCATGCTACACACACACACACTCGCACACACACACATAGTTAGATGCATGCATATATCATGACGTGGCCCAGAAAAGTATGCTATGGCAAAATGTTTCTGGCAACGAGCTGCCAAATTGCAAAGAAACCTAAAGAGGGGGGGAAACTAGGGGCAAGGGATGGAGAAAGTGGCGGAGAAAGCAGTACAGAATAGAGCAGAGAATCATTGAGAATAGGGAGGGATAGAGAGAGAGCGAGCGAGCGAGAGGGGAGTGGTGGATAGCTATGAGGGTTTTGGGGGTGTAAAAAATGCAAATCTCATGCATGGCTCTGCCACTGGGGCTCCTCTCTCCCCCCGCTCTGCTCTGCCAAAAATATCAAGGCACATGGCCATGACCGCATGCGATGCGGCCCAACAGGGGGTGGGGGGTAGCGGCTCTGACACCATTACCTCCTCCTGTCATAGACGTGGCACTGCCACTGCCACTGGCACTGCCGCACTATCTACTAGCACTTTTAGGCCGCCTTGTTTTGCAGCCTGTCGCCGCAAATGCAACGTGACGACGTGTGCGAATTTGTTTACTGTAATTGTCTTCACTGTACCAGGGAGACAGAGAGAGACAGAGAGAGAGAGATAGAGAAAAGAGGCAGTAGTGGGCGGGGAGCAGTGGTTGGCTCCTTCTGTCTTTCGGCATTAGCCAAGTTTTGGCTTCAAGCCAAGAAAGCGCTTAGACCGCAAAACACTTGGCTCTGGGAAAGTGGATTTTGTGCATACCTTGACATATTTCGAGAGTCCTCTACTCCCACTACAATCTCTCTTCCACCCCACCCCACCCCACCCCCCTCTGCAACAGCAGCACATGCTACTTGTAGGCATTTTCAATTTCCACAATTTCCACAATTTCCAGTAAATGTGCGGATAATCAGGAGAAGGAAAATAAACCTTGGATACGGAAGGAAGTGTGGGAATTCTCATGAATTACGAGTATGTGCAACACCCCCTCCCCCCCCCCCCCCCCCTATCAAAATGTGTAAAAGTTTTGCACCCGACTGGCCTTAATTAAAGCAGAAGCCTGCGTGGAAGCCTTTTGATAGACACTGTACTCGGAGTATAAGAGAATTCAATTAGTTTCTGGGAATAAATATATGAGAATATTCGATTTTTAGGTATTCGGGGAGTTCTCAGTGCGGGAGGAGAGAGAGGATCATGGGTGCCCATACACCATAATATATTTATTTATTTTACTTAAAACATAACCCCATTTAGCTGCTGGGTTCATATTAAACTGATAAAGGCTATAAACCTTTTATTTTTTAATTTTTAATAAGAAATCGAGGCGGTAAGTGGCTGTTTTTGGACTTCTCCCGATCCCCCCCCCCCACAGACAGATGTCTGTGGCGACCCTTCGTTTCCTTCTGATTTACGAGTGTCTCTCGATAAATATTTACTCCAAGAAATATACAACTAGTACGACTAAAAGCCCCAACAAAATGCTTGGTACATGTACATTTCAATTGCTATAATTTACAGCCTTGATTGAAAATCAATTGACTTTTCCACAAAACAAAAAAAAACAAAAAAAAAAACAGAATGCAATGCACGGGTCACAGAAGAACGAAGCGAATGGCAGAACGATTGGTTGGGGCCATAAATTCACTAATAAATTTATGAGAGAGCATTCAAAAAAAAACCACAAATAAAAACATCCGTTGGGGCCGCTCTCTAGGCAGCAGGTAGAACAGAGATAGATAGAGGGAGAGTGAGAGCGAGAGGGTGGGGAAAGGGTATGGGGAAGGGGAAGGGGAGATCCCACTGCATGTCACACACATAATAATTTCATTTCGTTTTTATCAAAAAACTGTTGACAACTACTTGTCAAACACGAACAATTTGTGCCACAGGGAAAGCGAGGAAAGCGAGATAACAATTAAGTCAACAAATGCCACAGAGGGTGGGGAGGTCGGCCCGGGGAGGTGGGACCAGGGGGCCATGTCGATATGCTTGGCCTGTTGTTCGTTGTTTTACGGTTCGTTGGATTCTCTAGCTTCGGTTATGACACGTTTTCCCTGTTATAGATCATCATCATCGTTGGGGTAGATCATACACTCGCTACACATCCCCGCTGCCACTCCCCCCCCCCCCCCCCCCCTCTCTGTTGCTACCCTGACTTCTTGGTTCGTTGAACTGTTGCCCCGAGATCTGTTTATTTTTGGTTTCTGTTTCTTGTGCCGCGATAATTTGCCATTTCCTCCATTCATTCATATCTTATCGAACCGAACCGAACCGAACCGAACCGCAGACAGGCGGTACCCATGTTTCAGCTAGTTTTTGGCCCTAAAACTGCTATCAGTTCCGAAACTTGGTATATTAACAGGTAGTTAAATCTTGGCGATAGCCAGTACAGTGGGTCAAGGCTAAAGAGAACAAGAATTAAAGAGCATTTGCCCATCAAGGTATCCCATCCGCAAAAAAGGGAAGCTGCAACCTCCCAGAAGAGGTCAAGGTTGTATCCGCAAAGTCCGTCCCCGCCAAGGCATCTGTCAGATGCAGATGATTGCCACAGCTTAACCGAAAATGGATTTCCAATTCAATTTTGCGCCACAAAAAAGTCGCCACTACAGTAGGGCCAACCCTACAGTGGACACCGGCAAAGGCTTCCTCTTCGGGGGGCATGTATGTAGGTGCATCCGACTGGATGCCACTGTGTGTTGCATATTCAATTATTTGTTTGTTGGTTATTTTGCCGGGGCCGATTATTTTTGCATTTGTGCAGCTGCCACACGCGAGAGAAAATCCCAACAATTCTGCTGCTGCCC